CCMAAAWTKRRSTTTTGCAAACACATGTYTAGTAAGACCTCGTCMACGTGATCATAAGYTTTTTCGAAGTCGATGAAAATGATGGCTGCATTATTTTTAGATTGCCTGGCCAGTTTAATCGTCTCGTTAACCAAAAGAATATTATCCTGAATATTTCTGCCTTGAATGAAGCCTGTTTTGTCTGCATGGATGATGTCCGGCATTATCGGTGTCATGCGGTTGGCTAATGCTTTAGCCATCATCTTGTAGACCACTGTGAGCAGGGTAATGGGTCTGTAGTTCCTTATATTAATCCTTTCCCCTTTCTTATAGAGGAGCGTCAGCACCCCCTGCCCAACCAGCTCCCCAGTCTGTCCCGTGGTCCAGACCTCCTGGTAAAATTCCATGAGGTCTTGCGATATCTCTGGCCACGTTGTCACCCAGAACTCCTTGGGGAGCCCATCTATGCCTGGGTTTTTTCCGTCCTCCATTTGCGACAATGCCGTCCATATTTCTTCTTTCGTAAGGGGTTCGTCTAGTTTTTTTCTCTGCTGTTCTGTTAGAGTTCTAGTAAGCGGGCGCAAGAAGTCTTCAATTTCCATCGTGCGTCGATGCATGGGGAGCTTCCCGCACTCCGAGGTGAACAAAGTTTGGTAGAAGTCTCTTGCTATCTTTGTGCAAGCGGCCGTAGACATGTGCAGGGGGCCTTGCTGAACTTTGGGGTCCTTCAAGGCTTCGATTACTGACCTCCCTGATTTAGCTTTGGCCATGGCAAAGAATCTTGCGTCCATGGCCCCCTCCATGTTATGTTTGGAGCGTCTCTCTCGGATCCGCACGCCCAACCATCTGTACTCCATGCAATCAACCAGGCGGGCTTCTATGGTCTGGACGATTCTGGCTAGCTCCACTTGCTCCTTATCTGACTCGTTTTCCTGTCGTTGTATGTGTTGAAGTTGTCGTTGTAAGTTCAATTCCTCAGTGTGGCGACGCGCCGCGAGAAGTTTAGAGTATTCATTGCACTTGCGGCCTATAAAAGCCAGGCCATTGTTGAACCATTCAATTACGTCTTGAATCTGATGTTTTCGTTCCTGTCAAAAGGACCACACCTCTGCGAGGTAGGTCTTGAAACGATCGAGGGTCAAGAGGGAAGTGTTCAGCTTGTAAAAGCCTCTACCTTGGTCCGGTTTTCTCCTGAAGGAGAAGATCGCCACACACATCGCATGGTCCAGACCCGGATAGGGGCTACGAGGAAATATCGCTGCTATCTGAAGCGCCCCTTGGATCTCATCTGAGATAAGTATGAGGTCTATCCTGGACTTGGTCGCCTTGTCCGTGTCGTTCTTGCGAAAGCAGGTGAAGCGATGGTCAGTGAGGAAATGTTTACGGAAGGTGT